TTTCTTTCTGCTCAACTTACAGTTTTAGTTGGAGAGAGAAATTTTTAAGGTTATAAAGTAAAAAACATTTTGGCAGCCATCTTAGAAGCTATTAGATGAATGCCGGTGGCTTAGAGCCTGTTTCTTTGCCCCTTACATGAATTTAAATTTAGAGTTTGTAGATGATTTTTATAATTGCATATATGACAGAAAAAAGAAGGAAGATAATGAACATGGGGAAACATGATAAAGTAGTGAATAATGCAGAGAAAGTACATCAGATATGGTGGGAATGCCTTCAGAAATAAACTTCATTTACAGCTTTATAATCTATCCCCCTCCAAGTTACCTGCCCTGTCCCTTGTACGCTGCAAGGGAATTGGATGTAGCCCAAGGGAGAAATAAAATCTTGCTGATGGGCTTGCTGTTGTGTATTGGTTGTCTAGCCATCCCGTGTATGACAGAGGTATCCTGTGAAAAAAATGGAAGACGACACAAGTATCATTTAGAGATGTATCAGAGATGTGACTTCCAATCGTGTCCTTTCTAGTGAAATTTTTGTGGAAATACTAAGCTAAAAGAGTATTCAGTAAATTTGCTGATTCCAGGCAGAATCAGACTGGTGTTACAAAATTTGAATCAGTTTTTTTAAACTTTACTTGAATTTTTTTTTTTTAATAGTTAGATGTGTTTGACTCTAGGACTTTATTGTAGCTCATAATACATGGGCGTCAGAAGAAAAAAGTGACTCTTGTCACATTTGTCAATCCAAATGCAAGTTTGGATTCTGCCCTAGCACAGAAATTTAAGATTTTCTCTTTAAAAAAAAAAAATCCAAATTAGTTGTTCTCTTAATATAAGAAAGCTGTTAATGCTAGGAAGTGAGGCTATAACGAAGCTGTTTAATCAAGTGGTGTGTTTTAAGTTGTTTAGCAGGTACAGAGATCTCAAATGGGGAAGAAATAAGTTGGAACTGAAGATGAAATAATTATTGTGATTATTACATTTGAGTAAGATCCTTGTGAATGCAGTGCTGCATGATGGAGAAATTATATTCGTGGCTTGAACTTGCACTATAAAATTCTGAGGGAGGCAATCTCTTGCCAGTATCTCCAAGTGGCTGCGGTTGGGTACCGGGTTGCTATGGTAACAGATGAAGGCTTGCCTGGTTCAACATCATCTAAGCACAATGGTATTTTCAGTCTGGGGCTTCAAATAAGACCTATCATCTTGGCTTCTTTGTTGTCTGCATTAATTATTTGCCTATTGATTCTCTGAGCAGAACTGCAGGTGAGGCTGCTTAACGGTATGCTTTCCACTCTATATATGGCTTTCGGTTACCCCTTGAAGAAAGCTGACCTGCAATGGAAACTGGACCCAATTAGTGTCCTCTGCAAAGTGGTGGCAAAAGTGTTTGAGCCCTTATATTGCGATTTGGATCTGATTCTGTTGAAACGCTCCTGGGGAGGAAGGGAAGGTGCCACTGGGTGACAAAACATTGTGCACGAAATGAGAGTAGCAACAGCATCAGTCACATTTTTGGATGAACTTTACGTTTGAATGTGGTTGCTTGCCTCACTTGTAAGCAACAGGGACAGTATTAAAGATCTGCCTTCTGTTGGTAATGTGCGATGATGCGCGAGGTAAGCCAGAGGCAGTGCTGAAATGTGTGAAACTTGTGAAGGGTTAAACTTCAAGATTGCCTCATGATTGACAGATTGCTTCACAGGCTTTGTGCGTGCTCTGTTTGTGGCAGTTGGTGTGTTAAGCACAAAGAGGCCACTCTGACTTTTGCCCAGAAAAGAGGTTGCGGTTTGTAGGAGTTTCCTGCAGCAATTCTTAGTTTCTGAAAAGCAAACCTCAACCTTGTGCCCCAATATTCATGTGCTTGTATTCATTTCCATTTTAATATGTTTTTGCTGCTGTTCCTGGCACCTTATCTATCCTCCTATCACTTTGGCTCAGAGCTCTCCCTCCTCAGCATCCAGTCCTCTTGCTGTTATTATAGTAGGCGTCCAAGAGCCCATTTGGGATCTTGGGTCCAGCTCCAGGGAACAGGTACGGGGTGATGTGGCAGTACCATGATTCCAAAAGTGTGAGATATCAAAAATAGCAAAATTCCTGCCTGTCAGTATTGCACTGTAATGTGGTATCTGTGACAGCAGTCTTGCCTTATCCTGTACTGTGCATGCTACGTGGCCTGATCCAGTCCTTTGCTGTGCCGACTGACCCTCCTGAGCCTCTGCCTTTGCTTTCCACCTTTTTCCCCCAGTTACATGTTTGGCATCTCCATTAGCGATGAGGGAGAGGAGCTAGAGGTAGGCTGTGTTTCCCGCCTTTGTCAGCAGTTATCTGCATAATTTCGCCAGCAAAACTTTGGACCAGAAGAGAGCTGTCATGAAGGTGAGAGAAGGGGGTGGACCACTAGCCCTTGAAAAGAAGGTCAGGTGGTGCTTAGTTTGGGAACCCTGCAGGCTGCAACTTTCACAATAGAGTCAGACCCCAAGGATGCATCCCTGCCCCGACAGAGATCTGATCCGCTGGAGGATGGGCATGGGGCAGAGAGATATTAATGAGCCTGGTCCTCCCCTCAGCACTGGTTTGTTTTTTGTATTTGAATCAGGAAAGAGTAAACTATTATCCATCTCTAACAGGTACATCTGTGAATGTATGGAGGAAAAAAAAAAGGTGGCACCTGCCCCAAAATAAGTAATAAGGAGTAAATAGTGGGTAGTAGAAATAGGGGGTAAATAGTGCAATAGGGTGGATGAAAGGTGCATAAGAAAACAAGGAGGTGGTGTCTGGGCTGACCATTGCAAATCAGCTGTGTTTCAGTTGAGTCTAGAGAGCTGTCCTTTCACAAGTTTCTCTGTCTATTCAGGTCTTGGAAATAAACTGCCTTTGTTCCCAGCTGTACTGAAATGTTTATTCATTAGATTTTAATAAAGAAAGTCAAATCTCATATTCCTTATTCAGTGTTGGTAACTGAGTATTATTAATTGATTAGTCAATACCTGTTAGCATGATAAGCCAACAGAAAACTGCAGTGACAAGCACCTTCAGATTAGGTATTCATTCTGTAAATTATTAATAGCTACTATCGATCCTCTCCCAACTGATGAAATATTAGTCTTTTTTGAAGAGCAACTTTTTTTTTTCTTTAACTGATAAGCTATATTTATTTAGGAGTTTTGTTGCCTATTTTTCCCGCAGGAGCCAATCTTTTTGCAAGCTGTTTGAAGGGGTGGTCTGTGTTTGCATACCATGACTGTTTTCTGTATTTTGTTCTTCTTTGGTATCCTCAAATATTTGTGAGTGTTGTCAAGGCCAGCCAGATGTTTTTGCAATATAATTTCCTCAATAAGGAAGTATGGAAAGACCTTATCAGTGTCATTACTAGTTTTCTCACTAACACTTATGTGAAAACCCAAGATAAATAAGCCCATGAAGCTAGAAATAAAAGCAGGACAGTATGATTTTTAATGGAAACATCTGCTGCTTTTCTTCAGAAAATGTCAAATCCTTTAGATAGATAGGTCTACACCATTGTCTCTTTTTTACAGATGGGGAAACAAAGAGCTTAAGTGATTTAACCAGCACAGTGCAGCAGGTTCACTGCAGTGCTGGGAACAGGCCCTGGTTCTCCTACTCCCAAGCCACTAGCTGACAACCAGGATGTTCTGTAGCACCTTTAGTAGCTGTCATTAATATTCTTTCTCTATCCAGGGCTGCTTTATTCTCTTCATTATCGTTTTATTCAGTCCTGCTGTGCTGCTAGCTTTGGCCATCTGTTTTTCCTGCCAGCGCTTTTGCCATTTTTTCCATGGCTGCCTTATGCTTGGAACAACCTCTTGGATGACTCCTTCTCAAAAACAACATGTACTAGGACACAGAGAGGAAACTGATTGCCTTCTTATGGTGACGAGGCAGAGAGCCAGAAAGGATAGTTAAATTCTGCTGCATGAGTGTGGCTTCTAGCCTGGTCTGGGCTGAACTTTATTCAACATGTCCTATTGGCTCAAAAGGATGACGCAACCCTCTAGAATGTAACTCTTGTTGTTCTACTAGGAATTCACTCACACGGACAAAGAAAGAAGGTCAAGTTTATACAAATCTCAGTTTGTGTGCTGAAGTAAAAGGCAGAGATGATCTTAAGAAGTTGACAGGTTGCGGGCTGTATTCCCTCCCATGTTGTGTACCCTTTCTAGTTCCCTTCACTCACATAGGAGCTTGACACACTTGCTGCAGGACCTGATGCTAATATTTTCCTCTGCAATTACGAGGATTTATGGCATCAGAACTAAAATGAGATGCTCTCTCCTTTATTTCCATTGTTCCCTCTCTTGTTGTATCAGCTTCAAGAATTGCAAGATGGAAATAAAAGTGTATGAAGAAAATGGATGAGGAATGAAACAATTTTTTGGGGGGTACACTTACCCATATTTTTAATTCTTATTGCCACACACAAGCACACGTTCTGTCTCTTCTGAGTCAGACCATGTGTTCTTCATGAGAAGAAACCTGTGACCTGACTGTGTGGGAACTTTGGTAATGTACTTTAAAATATTCAGAGCTGGAAAGCAGACACTTATAACAAGCTTCAGGAAAACTTTTGAAATTTAGGACAGTCCTAATAAAACTTCACTTCTTCCTTTTTTTTGTTGGGTTTGTAAAAGATGATGTGCTGGTGTTAGAAAAGAGAAAGCTGTCCTCCCCAAGTTTTCTGCCTGGCTGGATGACTGTCATAACAAGTGCTGGCTTATGCATCAGAAGAGCTGAGCATGTGGTGCAAAAGGTGCTCAGCACATGTAAGATTTGACCACAAACTGTTTTAATATGTGGCTCCAGTTCCATTTCATGATTATTGTTTTTTTTTTTAATTCCACCTCACCCCCCTGGTAAAGTGTTTGAGTGAAAAATTCAGGATTTGGATAGATGTGAATGTTTACATGTCAAGTCACAAAAGCCACAGGGTGCATATACAGAAGTATTTTTTAATTGTTTTTCTTTTTATCTTTTAGGTCTCTCAGCAGCCAAACTGCTGACTGAGTCAGGCTTGAACGTGGTGTTGCTGGAAGCCAATGACAGGGTTGGTGGAAGAACTTTCACCGTAAGGGTAATTATCTCCAAACCCATTTGTACTACATATACATACGTATAGTGTATACTATACGTATGTATAATTGTAGAATCATAGAATTATAGAATGCTTTGGGTTAGAAGGGACCTTTAGAAGTCATCTAGCCCAACCCCCCTGCAGTGAGCAGGGACAGCTTTAACCAGAGCAGGTTGCTCAGAGCCCCATCCAACCTGACCTTGAATGTTGCCAGGGATGGGGCCTCCACTACCTCTCTGGGCAACCCCTTCCAGTGCTTGACCACCCTCATTGTAAAAAATTTCTTCCTTATATCCAGTCTAAATCTACCCTCCTTTAGTTTAAATCCATTATTCCTTGTCCTGTCACAACAGGCCTTGCTAAAAAGATTCTCCCCATCTTTCCTATAGGCCCCCTTTAAGTACTGAAATGCGGCAATAAGGTCTCCCTGCAGCCTCCTCTTCTCCAGGCTGAACAACCCCAACTCTCTCAGCCTGGCCTCACAGGAGAGGTGCTCCATCCCTCATATCATTTTTGTGGCCCTCCTCTGGACCTGCTCCAGCAGGTCCATGTCCTTCCTGTGCTGAGGGGCTCCAGAGCTGGATGCAGTGCTCCAGGTGAGGTCTCACCAGAGCAGAGTAGAGGGACAGAATCACATCCCTCGACCTGCTGGCCACACTGCTTATGTTGCAGCCCAGGATATGGTTGGCTATCTGGGCTGCAAGCACACGTTGTCAGCTCATGTCCAGCTTTTCTTCCACCAGTACCCCCAAGTCCTTCTCCGCAGGGCTGCTCTCAATCCCTTCATCCCTCAGCCTGTATTGATATCGGGGGTTGCCCCGTCCCAGGTGCAGGACCTTGCACTTGGCCTTGTTGAACCTCATGAAGTTCACACAGACCCACCTCTCCAGCTTGTCCAGGTCCCTTTAGATGGCATCCTGTCCTTCTGGTGTGTCAACCGCACCACTCAGCTTGGTGTCATCTGCAAGCTTGCTGAGGGTGCACTCAATCCCACTGTCTGTGTCAATGATGAAGATATAAAACAGCACTGGTCCCAGTACAGCCCTCTGAGGGACCCCACTTGTCACCAGTCTCCATTTGGACATTGAGCCGTTGACCACGACCCTCTGGATGTGACCGTCCAACCAATTCCTTATCCACCAAACAGCCCACCCATCAAATCCAGATCTCCCCAATTTAGAGAGAAGGATGTTGTGGGGGACTGTGTCGAAGGCTTTACGGAAGTCCAGATAGATGACCTCGTTGCTTTTCCCTTGTCCACTGATGCAGTCACTCCTTCATAGAAAGCCACTAGGTTGGTCAGGCAGGACTTGCCCTTGGTAAATTCATGTGGGCTGTCTCGAATCACCTCCCTGTCCTCCATGTACTTTAGCATAGCTTCTAGGAGGATCTGTTCCATGATCTTCCCAGGCACAGAGGTAAGGCTGACAGGTCGGTAGTTCCCAGGGTCCTCCTTTCTTCCCTTTTTAAAAATGGGCACAACATTTCCCTTCTTCCAGTCACCAGGGACTTCACCTGACTGCCATGACTGATACATACATGCCATGACCTGATACATACATATGTATGTGTGTATATATGTCTAGTATACTGTATGAATAATGTACATAAACATATTTGTCTTTCTGCTAGAGGACCTACTTGAGGGAAGATTGCTAGAGCACTAGCAGGTGGGAAACTTACTGATATTCTACCATCAGGAGTAGGGCAAGACTGGCATGATAGCAGGGACAGAATATTTCCGTGTGCTCTGCAGGCTCTAGAGTCATCAGTCCTTTCCTCTGGGAAGGAGAGCATAATTAGCTAAGTTTCAAAATCATTTTCCGGGGAGAGACACTGGAGAAGCCTCTATGAAAAAATCCCCATAGGCCAACCATGCTGTGAAGAGCCTTGACCTGAACCGTAACAAGCCCCATGAGGAGTGATGTAGGCTAGAGGAATGGCAGGGGTGGCTGGGAACTAGAACCAGCATCCCTCCCTTCACACCTTTACCTTCTGCCCTACCTTGACCTGGGAGACCCCCTTCCACTCTGCTCAGTAGAAAATCTTACCTGAGCTACGTCCTAGTACAGGCTGTTTTGAACTAGTTGTTGGCAAGATGCCTGACTAAGAACCGCACAGATGTCTCTGACCGTGTCCTTCTCTCTCTGCCTGTCAGGCTCTTTCCTCTTGTGTTTGTTAAGGCTGTAATGTAACAACAGGCCAGCTAAGCTGGTTATAAACTCCTTATCTGAGGTTCTTGGTAATCGCCACACCAGAACTCTACCAAATAATTGAAGTTTTCCATGGGGAGAGGAATCTTGGCCAAAATGCTCTGGGAGTGTTTCACTTAAAGAATTCTCTGGATTGTTCTTTTAACTTGTGTGCTATTTACAAAGGGCTTATCTTTTTTTAATCTTTTTTTTTTCCCCTTTTGTGTGTTGTGTGTGATAAACTAGAATAAGCAAGTTAAATATGTGGACCTTGGAGGAGCTTACGTGGGGCCAACACAAAATCGTCTCCTGCGGTTATCTAAAGAGTTAGGAATAGAGACATATAAAGTGAATGAAGTTGAGCACCTGATACACCATGTCAAGGTAAGATGCTCTCAAGCATGCTGCTGTAGACAGGCAAGTTGTAGTGATCTCCTTTCTCATTGTTTTCTATCCATGCTACAGTGGAGTATACCTATTTAAGTATGCATCATCTGAGTTTCTTGGAGAAAAATAAGTATGTTGGTAATCAAGAACTCATACAACATACTATATGCATGCACATCTACATGTGTACCCTGCAGATGCATCCTGTTAGCTGATGTCTTGGTTCAGGTCTGAGCTCTTAGTCAAAAGCTCTCAAAAAACTCAAAAATGTTTATGAACAGTACAACTGTGACTCTTCTGTACAGATCAGCACTCATATACACTGTCCGAGGTGTCTGAAAGTCCCTTTCAGAAGTCCTAGAAGTATCTTCAATCAGGCTGAAGGTTTCTCAGGATGAGCTTCCTAAACCAGTGACAATTATTATCCTGACCAAAAGAAATGTGAGAGGTTAAGTCTGGCTTTGCTGATGGGGAAACTAACATGCAGAGCAGCAAAAGGCATTGTAATAGTAATTGCAAAAGGCTCTGGGAGTCAAATGTTCTTGTGGAGGCAGATCTAAATGACCTGGAACAGGACAACTATGGCAAAGCTGTTAAAAAGCCCATGTATTCTCAGTATTCGTCCTATGCTTGCTCCAAAATAGCATACTTTCTCCTTTCCTGATACAGAGTGGTGTTGTGCTCCCACAGAAGGGAAATTTTCTATGTTAGTCCTGAGGAGATTAACATGGAGTTTCATTATATGCTTATGAAAAGCCATTGTGCAATGACTGGCAAAATATTTGTCAGATAGTAGTTGGTGTTTGATCAAAGGCTAGAGAAAACATTGACAGATTTAAAAACAGCAGTAGAGAAAAGGTGTTCTGCCATATGTTCTGCAATATTTTTCCCACTGTTATAAAAAAGTATATTCTCAAAGTGATTTGCTATGGGGACTGTCCACAGTTACTTCTGCTGTGGTAGAACTGATGGGTACATCCACACTGTTCTGTTTCGTGTGCCTCTGGCACCATCCTCAAAGCCAAATTTTCTGCTTGTTCACACTATTTAGCTTTCAGAGTCTCCTCAATAGAAATAGGAGGTCATGCCATGAGGGGAAACCATAATAGCAGAAGACAATTGACATGGCCAGTTAGGATGACCAGCTCGTAGGACAACCTTGCTGTCGTAGCATGGGGGCATTCCAAAATGCTGCCAGAAGTCACCGAAGCCAAAGCTGAAGCTGACATCTGGGCCTGACTTACTGTCACCGGCCAGCAAGCATGGCTGCTTCTTTGGTAAGCTAGACCCCATTTTCTTTTAGGATCTCTAGGAACCAGCTTGTGGGGGGATATTGGTATTACTATGCTGGTTGAAATAGCCTTTTGTTTTCCAACAGGCTTTTAGAGTGAGGAGAACAGAGAATGGCACAGAAGTAGAAGTTTGGGCTCTTGCCAAGGACAATCTGTCTTTCCCTTGACCACAAGTGTCTTACTACGTGAGTTGCCAGAGGTTGTGCATAGCCTTTTACCTATGGATCATCTATGGATCTCTCCATATCATCTCTGGATACCTTTTAGCCCAGGGCAGTGAGTGCTAGTGTGAGTCAAGGCTCTCAGCTTTCCTCCCTACCCAGCACTGACAGGACTTGCTGGCACCTGGGGACGTATCACAGGCTGGCACAGAGGGGCACGCCTTGGCTTTGTATGTTGGGTGTGGAAAGGGCCTTGAATGGGGACACTAAAGCATTAGGACACAAGTCTAGGGAATCTATACAGTAGCATGACTTTTATCCAGAAATCCAGAGGTGGGGGAAGCCACTCTGCCCCTGGAAGCATTCAAGCCATCCAAGCCTGGAGATATGGGGTGCTTGCTACTTTGGTTAATGCCTGCATCTGTGCAAACAGATCCTGGGGGAGCTGTGAGGAAAGTTGAGGGCCTGGGCTTGCTCCAGCACTGATGTGCCTGTGCTAAGACCTACTGAGAGATGCTCATAGATGACAGATTACATATGCCAGGGGGATGGAGCATCCGTGGCAATTTGATGCAGGCAAGTGGCTTGGTCTGAGTGCTGGCAGGCATGTGTGAGATTGGCACTACACCTTACGCAGAGCCATGGAAGAAGCTGCCCTGAAGCGACCCTTGGAGTTTCCTACTCCACCCTGGGCTTGGAGCAGTGTCTACCTCATAGTTAGGTCAGGCTGCTTGGGGCCATTCCCAGCCAAGTGTTGAAAGTCTCCAAGGAGAGAGATCCCATCTGCTGGCTGAGGCGCTCCCAAGGCATGGTAAGAGCCTGCAGGTTGGATTCAGAGTTTGTAGGCTCAGGCTCCCGATGTGGCTGCCTGTAGGAGAGCTCCTGAAGAGAGGAGGGAGAGAAGTGTGTGCCTGGACTCCCTGGTAGCCAAGCAGGAGGTAGAGAGAGGAGATATTCTACAGTCAGTAGCTCCTCCTTTGAATCTCCTAATTTCACTCATTTTAAATCTTTTATTTTCTTTTTGCTTCTGTGTTTATACAACTGTGGAAAAGTATTATCATAGCTGAAGAATTACTTGTAGTTAAAGAATTGGAAGATGAACAGTATGTAGGAAACATATGAATTGTTTTGTGGCCAAATCAGCATAATAATCTTAAGCCTTTTGCATTTCATGTAACTGTAATACATTCCTTACGGATCTCTTACTTTCAGTCATGTGGCTTGCCAATGTGTTCCCTGAAAATGGACAGTGTTCTTGTGTGCTCCCTGAAATTTAAGTAGTACTCTCAAGTCACCGCTTGCAAATCAGATTCCAAAATATACAAAGGTCTGTTGCCCCTGTGTGAATTTCGATTTGCATGCTGACCCAACCTTTGTGACTGCAGCCAAATCTAATTAAATTCTGGACCACAGAATTCTCTCTGAACCCAGAGAAGCAATGAAACTGAAAGGTTTTAATTCTTCTCTTGCTACACAATCAGGCATCACAGTGCATCTTGTAAAATCAGCCGCTGTTTTTACATATACCCAAAGGCAAAATTCAGCTTTTCATAGTTAATTAAATTCATTTTAGAGGCTTTTTAATACAAGTAATATATGCAGCTTCTTTGTACTACAAAATGAAAAGAATGCATTTTGTTGATCTCTGGGTGGGTCTTTGCTAATTAGGCTTTACCAACTTGATTGGGTTGTGTGGTTTTTTTCCCCCTTTAATCTGTTTTTTAATGTCAGGTTCTACTGAGAGATTATTTTTGGTCTCGCTTATATTGTGTGTGAAATCTTCACAGAAACTCAAAATTACATTTCTTGCCCTACATTTTTTTTTCTTTTCCTCCACTTGTTAAGAAGCCTTTTTCATGGTCTTTGAAAGGAGATTAGTACGTTCTTTTCATTTGCGTAAATACTGGTTCATCAGCCTTAGTGAGAAAATTAGTATAGCTCTGCAAGTAGTATTTGGTAGGCAAAATGCTGCCTGAACACCATTGCTTTTCAATAGTGTAACTGAAGTTAAGTTCGTAAATCTAGATTCAAGAAGCAAAAGCAGAACTATCTGAGAAGTCATCATCTCCTAACAGTGCTCCTATTGGACTGGTAAGAAGATGTAAAACACTTCTTAAATTAAGATAACTTTTCCTTAGCTGCCCAAGAGAGGATTCAAGTCCCTACCTTAGACAGGTAGATTTGCAACTTTCGACTGGTGGTGTTTATTTTCCTCACCAAAATGACAGCTTTTGTCTTAGAAAAACAAACCAAAGTACAGATAATCCAGTAATTTTTGCCTTTGCCATGTAACAGTCCCTGGAAAGAAGAGATGAAATATGAAAACATGTTAATTATTGTGAGGGTTTAATTATCAACATATTTGCTTCATTAATTCAAATTGCACTTCACTTTTGTGCAGTCCCAATAGCCATGCAAATTTCTTGCATTTTGAAACACAAAGTTATCAGGTGTTATCAAATATAACACAGGTTCCTTTGCTAAGTGAGATAACTCTGGAACTGGTTTACTCTGCTAACCTAAACCTGTGGAAAGAAACATTTCATCGTATGACTGGTTTGTCAAAGTAATCTTTTTAGAACCTGATTCCTTCATACGCAGTCAGAATGATCTACCCTTTGTCCTGCTGTGGTTCCAGCTGAACACCCTCTGATCCCATTTTCGCTGATGGAGAGCTTGCATGAAAATCTGGCAACATAGACTGGCAACAAGATTCCTCTTACTGGCTACATTGGACCAACAAAGCTTGTTTCTCAAAGTCCAGTCATTAGCTTGTGGTAGATCCCCCACTGCCATTGATGCTTATTATCATTTTTTTCCAGATGTTTTTTCCACCAGAACTTTCTATGGGACAATGTCATGATCCTTTCTGGAATTTCCCCAGAGTATAGCATTGTTGCTAGAAAGTGGTAGTAACATTTATTCCTTGTAATCTCTGTGTTGTCTCAGTGCAGACTGTGGATAGTGCTAATGGCTGGCTTAGGTAGCTGGCTATTTTGACAGCGTATTTGCACCTGAAACATTCCTCCTGTGGTGGTAATTGACATAAGTCCTGCTAGTTGTTTCCTTAGCACCAAAAGGCAGGCTCGGCTTTGCACACATCCAGGGAGGTCTTTTAGGTTAAAATACTGGGTGAAACCTGAAGCATCCCCTCCCTACTCACTAGACAGGTTCTTCACAGTGAGTTGCTGATTGCTTCATTACCTCTATTAAGTTCCCTGTAAAAGAACGGAGTTTTCTCATACCCATTCATCTGCCAGCAGCACTGGCTAGAGGTGTCCAAATGCATGTCATGCCCTCTTCAAGTGTAGGACAGCTTTCATATACAATTGACATCTCTGGGGAGAATGCTAATGTGAACCCAGTCTGCAGCACATCACTGAACGTGACTATTTAGTCTTATACACACAATACTTTTAACTAGGACCACAAATCTACACTAATGTTAGCGGGTTACATACTGATCTACAATACATCTGCAGAAAAAAAATTTACAGCCCTCTTGGGTGTCATTCATTTTCAGCACTATTGTGCTTATTAAAAT